CCCCAACCGGCAGAGGAGGGTTGCCTGCAGCAGCCAGCCCACAGGGCAGACAGGTCAGGAGAGTCCGGAGCTGGCTCCAGGTAGTGTCTGAGCATATGGTCTGTCTCCATCGTTGGGAGACACGACCCAGCAAGAGGCAAGACTCAGAGCCCAGGGGTGGAGGCAGGGGTGGGACCGCGGCAGGCCCAGCACAGGTGCCCAGGGCTGCCCACGGTGGTGACTAGCTGCTTCTGGGACCTGTCCAAAGCTCCTTCACACACGCTCCTCTTCATGAGACTCACCCCAGTGGGGCTCCGAAGAGCATGCATGTGCAGGGCAGGTTATGCTCCAGGTGGACAGACTGCCTGTGGGGCCGATCACGGAGGGCCCGCACACCCAGCAGCCAGCATGACCTGTCCACGGAGGGACCGGGGTGTCCGGAAGTGAACATTTCAGGGCTGAGACAGGACACAGAATGCCAAGAGCAGGGCAAGTCCGGGAGACTGTGGCCGAGGACATAGGCTCCCAGGGCCCAAGCTGGACTCAGCACAGCTCAAGGGACAGAAGAAACACCCACAGGTCCACTGAGAAATACAATTCTGAGTAACAGCACACACCCACCCTCCACGGAGGCCACCCAAGACTCCCACCTGCAAGCGTGGGCCACTCAGTGACCCGAGCTACCCGGCCACCTCAGTCAGGGCCCTTAGGTCACGTTGGTGCTACGTGCTGTGGACAGGACAGGTGCACCTCTGTGGTCCCCCCGGAAACACACAAGACCCAGCTAGTGATAAGAAACATCAGACAGATCCCAACAGAAGGCCACTCCACAGGACGCCCGGGCCATCCTCCGAACTGCCAGGCCCAGGTGAGCCTGCGGAGCTTGGATGAGATGTCATGGGGGACCCGGGGCGGGAAAGGACATCACGAGGAAAGGGAGGAATCTGAGTCGGGGTGGGTTCAGCCATGAACCACGGGCCTGCACAGGGCAGCAGCTGAGGGAAGGAGCCAGGGCAACCAGGGTGTTAGCTGTCAGGGGCCATGCAGAGGCAGCTCTCTGCACTCTTGCAGGTTCCATGCAGACGTAAACTGTTCTTTTTTTTTGGAAAGGTTTTTGTTATCGGGCACATGTGCTTGCCAGAAAGACAGATATAGAGAGACAGAAAGCGAGAAATCAGCCCTTGCGGGGATGACCACGCCACAATCCCTTCTCCATTCTCCTCTCGGGATCTTGGGCACGCACACACACGCGCCCAGTGTGAGTCTAGGCCACGGGGACTCAAACCACAGTCGGCTAAATGGGAATCCAGAGATGTAGCCATTACACCAATTGCTAGTCCTCTAAACTGTTCTTAAGTAGTTTTGTTTTGTTTTTTAGGTTTTTACCCAAAGGTACATGTGCTCACTGGAGAAAGAGAGAGAAAAAGAGAAAAGTGAGAGATCTCCCAGGAGGTACGGCTACATGCAATCCCACTTCTCCATTCCTCTTGAGATTTTGGGCATGGACACACATGTGGCTGGAATGATTTTTAAGCTAGTAGGCCCAGGACTCAAACCACAGTTATTCATGTGGGAGTCCAGCGCCTGAACCACCAAGCCACCTGCTGGTCCTAAACAGTTTATTTTTAAAGAACCAAACATGCTCACTCTCTATATATATTAGAATTATTTTGTTTATCTTTATTTTATTTATTTAGCTAGTTTAATTTGACCAGAGAGGGAAAGA